ACGAGGGCCATATCGTATGAACGATCGGATGAATTTCGGCTACCAGTTCATGATATCTCGTAGATCTGGTAGGTTGGCAGGTTACACGAGTTTTAAAATCCTGCCGCGAGCGTCAGCCGAATCCCTTCGCGGAGCTTATGGTTGAGATTCAGAAGCTTGAAGAGAAGGAAGGATTGCGGCTCTCGCAGCCGCTCCAGCTCTAATGTTCGCTGGTAGGATGACACGCACACCTCTACACCTGTGACCTGGCGTAACTACAAGGACTCGGACTCGAGCTGAGGTTTTTTCGGCGCTATGTGAGATGCATCTCCCCTCTCTCTCTCTGTCTCTCTCTCTTTCTCTTTCTCCGGGAGTCCACAGCACAGCGAAGTCCCCGCTGAACTGTCTATCTCCTTCGGTCCGATGGTAGTGATGAGTCTTGGAACCTGGGTGATCTTTGGAGATAGAGATTGTGCTTTAATTAAGCCAGTTGACTTTCGTGCCTGTACGTTTCAAATCTGCAGACTTGCGGTTGGAGGATGGACGCAGACTCTGCGACAATCGTGAAACCTCCTGTGCGTGACCATGGAAGGCAGTTTCGATGGTCCACTGTCGACCCACTTTCATGCACAAAAGAGAGGGCAGCCCGCGGGGAGATGCCTGGATCGATCTCCCAATCAAAAGGCGCGTTCACTCATCGAATTCAATCAGTGCTGCTTTTCGAAAAATGGATGTAAAATTTTCCCCAGTATTCAGCAACTCCTTTAAGACCCACAGGCTTATTCAATCTGTGTTCACGGTAAGGGGAAGAGCTTCCACCCCTTCCGTTGTTATGTTACCTGGGAAACAGGGGAGTCCGGACCGGATAATTGGAGTCGAAGGCTCAAACCCTTCTCACGTACAGTTCTTTTAAGTCCCAGGAGAAAAAATCCCGGTCATGATATTGATGATTGATTCTTCAGCTAATAACCAGCCTAAAAGAAAAATATCACCAAGTCATGCACGAAAGAGAGGAAAATACAGCACGAAAGTCGCCTTTGAATACCAGACGTAGTCCGTAAGACCAGCCAAGAGCATCATCCTTGTTCAGAGAGAGAGAGAGAGAGAGAGAGGACGATAAAACGTGGAAACGGAGTGAATTTCCATGTGAAGAAAGAGAGCATAGTGCCATCATATTGTATTGTTTCTTGGTTGCAGCAAAGAGACCAGGGACTATACTCGCAGGGCATGTAACTATAGACGAGCAGGGACAAGATTCTCAAGAGGCAAGGACAGTCCCGATCGGGCCTCGCCTCGCCATGCAAAGTCTGCCTCCCTGCCTGCCTGCCTGCAGCCACAAGCGACTACAGCAGACATCCACACTCACAGTCGCCGGTCGCGAGTCCCGCCCAGAGCATTGTCGCAGCGGCCGAAACCACGTCCCGTCGGAACCAAACCCGACTCCAGAACTCTCTCGAGCCGCTGCAGACCAAGTCGCATCACCAAACCCGGGCACGACTCTTCCTCGAGTCCGGCGATCTGTCCGTCCGTCCGTCCCGTTTCTATTCTCTCTCCACCTCACCTCCACGTCGGATCGAAGCCGCAAATCTTGAAGGGGATGCGGTTCCGGAGTGGAGAAAGGTTACCCAAGTCTCGGACCAACGGGTCTCGAGATCCTCAAGTTTCGGGCTGGGCCCCCGCGCGGGGAACCAATCGAACCTACGGTCGCCTGGGGGACTGTTCGCGCGGCTGAGACCGAGGACGCTCCGGCGTCGCGTGGCGTGGCGTGGCGTCTCGTCTCGTCTCGTCGCGTCACGCTGGCTGGCTGGCTGGTTGAGACCTGTTGGGACCGTCGCGAAAGGGAATGCTGCTGCGGCCTGGAGTGCCGGTCTGGTCGACTGCGCCTTTTGCCGAAGGAAGGAGTGGAGGAGGAGGAGGTCGAGTCTGGACTCTGGACTCTGGATCCGAGTCGGAGTTTGAGTGACTGACTGACACAGCAATAATGTAACTGCATGTGGCGAATACACCAACACAGATTGTGGCTGTGTGCACAGACGAGGTCAGAATCTATTGCGATCTTTCGTTGTGGAGCGAGATGGCACCGAATGCTTACATGTGTCGGGACGGATGTCGCTGGGATGGCTGGTATACAGACACGGACACGCATGGACATATGGCTGTCTAAATTAGATATTAGAACAAAGCCTTGTATTCTTCTCTCCAACCGCTTCTGATCCTCCATTTGAAGAAGTTCACAAAGCTCCTCCTATCCATGGTATCCTACGCTATGGTAGAAGGGAGGTGGCAGAAATAGACGGACCAGGCCTCGGACACGGACATCTTCCCTATGGAAGCGTGGTGAAGTGTGGACACCACAAAGGAACTTTAAGGGGACTGATCACACATGTCGCGGAAGCAGAGCTCCGGCATATATGTATATATGATACACACTCACCAGATAGCGAGCGCTGCAAAGCTTCTCACGAAGAAGAATCCCAAGTACCTTACTCTTACGAAGGTCGAATTGCTCTTGATTTCCTTTCAAAAATAGCATTTCCCACAGGAGATTCTCATGTAATCACCGATCGATGCTAGTGGCAACATGCATGCCGGGTTGAGTCAAATGCCTATACTCTTATTTATGGAGGCCAATTCCACAACAGCTAACACTTCTATACGAACTACTGAGTCCAAAGAAGTGGTTCTTGCATCTTATTTGTGATATAGCAGCATCAGCATCAAGCATTTCTAAATTCGAAAAACATTTCCAAGATGTTTGGAATATTGTCACTTCATCTCTCTCTATTCTAGAAGCCGATGTTGTATGGAGTTGTGGAAATCTGCCGTAAAGAGAGTCCAGATCCCGTGTCCACCTATTGGTTCACGTTGGACTATAGTGTGTGGCGGGGTGGGTAGGAGACGGGTGCGGTCTGGGTGGAGAAGAGGGATTGCCCTCCCAAAGTAAGCCCACAAAGATACAATATTAAATTCTGTTAGGTTGTAACGGGACAACTTTATACACGAATGCAACTTGCAGTGATTCGTGAGACAGAACCTCAACTAACGAGCTGAAGGTGAGAAGGTCGGGATAAGAAGGGCTTGGAATTGGTGAACAAGTCTGGAAAAATATTGCGTGAGAGATTATATGGTCCACAAGTGAAGCTAAAGTGCGAACAAGAACACCACCCACCACAAGTTACTCTTCATTGCAGGACTATCTGCATGGTCCACAAATCGAACCAAATGCTCTTAGGTCTGTGGAAGAGGGGGAGAGTGAGCGACAACTCAAGAATGTCCTCGCTTTCTCACGTACCAGCATCATGTTCGTAAGCCGGAAGACAGTGGATTTGACCTCATGCTGATATAATCTCACCGAGTTTGGTAAGGTATCGATGAGTGGGAAAAGGTAAAGGCAACATGATCACGAGAAGTTCAGAAGGTATATGCGACTCTAAGATAAGATCAAAAACATACAATAACTTGTACTTGACTCATGTATCAATGCCTAGATGCCATGTCTTGGTTTTTGGTACAGAAGGAAATTGGAGTCAGCATGAACCAAGATGAAGGAAAAGGATAACGGCAGGAATCATCAGAGAAGCGGCTGAGGGTACTTCAGAGATACTGCGTCGCGATCTGATTTCTTCCTAACAAAATGTGTTTGACTAGCTTAAAGCTCATGCAGATGATGTTGCGTTTGCATGTTTGCCGATCGTAAGAACTCCACGGCTGATCAAATCAGAAGTCATCCCGACTAACTTTCAGGACATATAACGAAGTTTGAGTTAAGAATGACCACGGTTACTTAGATCGACGATTGGGAATGGAAAGATCTGATTCTGCGCCAAACTTGGTTCGGTCGATCCACGGAAAATATTGAAATTGCCGCAGTCGATAAATATTTTACAGCTCATACGAAAGCATCCTACGTCACGTTCAGCGTTTAGTCCTACTGTATTATCCATTGACCGAAGCAGACGTTCGGATCTTCAGACTCTCGAGCTCATCCTGTGACCTTTCCTGACAGTGCTTACTGCCCAGCAACTATCTACAACAGCGCCATCCGAGGGAGGGAGGGGAGGGAGGGGGAGGGCTAGAGGAAGGAAGGATTGGGTGCTATAACAGCACCATTCCACAAGTGTGCGACGGATCCCATTCACTGATTTAGCGGGCGACTTTAGATACTTGAGCTCACGAAAGGTCCCCCTTAGCTCAGCTTTGAGCTTTTCCTGACCCATCTGAGTGCCACAAACGATATGTGACGTCCAAACACTCCATACACTCTACTATGTCTCTAACCTGTAAAGTATACTCGAGTACGGTCAATCATCTACTCAAATACTCATTGGAACTTTTTTAGCATCTAAAAGACAGTATACACTATCAAATTCATGCATTTCAATAAATTCGGATCTCGGGTGCAGATAAATTTACTGCAAGCAGAGGGGAGTTAAACCCTTGTCAAGAGGAACGAATTTTCACTCATATTCTCCATCTTTTTACTCACAACACCCATGGATAACATTCACCATGTAAAAGACATTAAAAACTATCATATACATGCGTGTCGATATTTCGCGTTACTGCAACTAGAAGGGAGTCGAAGCAATGTCAAGTGGAGCAGACATTCACTTCTTTCGCTCTTTTTTTTGTAAAAATTTTAATATGTACACATTTTTTTCGTTCCCAACTAGAGGACAGAGGAGGCCATCGTTTGATCCTGGCATAACAGCGTATGTAAGCTGAGACAATAGAGGCTTGGACCGTTTCGCCAGGTTGCGCCACCATATTGCACGTCCTAGCGGTGAAATCGTTGGACGCTTGGACTGCAGGTTAGCGGGGATGGGGGGGGAGATGCAGAGCACGGCAGCGGGAGGAAGCAGGAAGGAAGGGAGGGAGGAATGGAGGAATGGAGGAATGGAGGAAAGGAAGGAACGTGAGAAGGCAGGCAGGCAGGCAAGTGTCGGACCTCAGAGGCTGAGCCCAGCCTGATCTCAGGTTGAGGCTTGGTGCTTGGGGCTTGCGGCTATGGATGGTTGGCCGGGGATGTATGTGGGTGCTCCACGGGCTGCTGCTGCTGCAGCTGCTGTTGCGTGCCACACGTTGATCTTCTTTCCATCCTTCGATCGCTTGGTTCCATCGCCTCTGTCGTGCCGGACGTCGTCGTCGACGACGATCATGGCTGCGTGCCGGGCTTGAGATCGGCGGACTCGCTCGGATGCGAGCTGCTCTGTTCCGTCGAGTTCCGTCTGGATCCGACCCGAGTCGAATCGGGGGAGGAGGAGGTGTGCAGCCTCCGTGCTCGCCGTGTCGTATTGATAAGTCTCGAGATTTTACTGCTCTGGCGCATGTCGATCCGACAGTGGACAAAGTACGCGAACGGAATGGGACGGGACGAGGCCAGGGACTCGAGGGGAGGCGAGTTAGGTGCAGCGCTGTCATTAGGTGGTCTTGTGCGCTGTTGAAATTGGTTGACGCGCTGGTCCGAACCGGATTTTGGTCGTCAAATCTGATACTCGGATAGACGATAAGCTCCGCAAACTGGCCCGAGGGCTTCATAGCTCCCCGTCCCTCGTGCATTAAAATATTAGTTTCTCTGTAATAGAAAACGTGCCGAAGATTTAGCTGCCAGACTGCGAGACTGCGAGCCTAGTTCCGTTAGATTGACCGAACGAGCGACCGCTCGGGGAGGAGGGACGAAGGGGCGAGGCTCGGACTGGGAAGAGCTCGAGGACCCGAGCTGCGAGCAGTGACTCAGAGAGCCGGGGACGATGAGCAGAGAGCGCCATAGAGCTCACAATTGCATATACATAGGAAGACTTGTGGTGAGGTCCGAGAGAAAATTAATTTTGTATTGTCGGGGGATGCTGTGCTGTGCTGAGCTGAGCTGAGCTGAGCTGAGGCCTTGCGCAGAACCGCCAGGGACTTGCGGATCCGGGCGGAGGGGAGGGGAGGGGAAGGGAGGGGAGGGTCGGTATTGTGCTGCTGCTGCTGCTGCCGCTGCTCGCTGTAAGTGTTCGGTCGAGGCCAGACTAATAATGACTAATAGAAGCGCGGCGGGAAATTGGAGCTGAGGAAGGCAGACTCTCGAGTCGTTGCTTTCGGAGTAGCGCCGGGGCCGGATTCTATTTGGAGCCCCGATTGTCCAGCAGGAGCAGCAGATCTGTGATGCTGTCTAGCTCTGCTGGCAATTAAGCCAAAGCTCGTGGTCATTCTGTGGAGCGAAGGCTGTGGCGATATTGCGTATGCACTAGTCGGTCGGGAATGCTGGACGATCTGTCCCTGCTGCGCACGAGCAGGACTTGCAGCAGAGAGGGCGCTAAGCGAAGGGGAAAGGCAGAAATTTGACCTGAGCGAGCGAGAGAGAGCGAGCAGGCAGCATAAGGGGATGAGCAGTGACATCCTCTGGTGCAGGGGAGCCTAGAATTGGTCGTTCTATCGCCTGGCGAAGCTCGCCTGTAGTTTGTTCTCTGCAGGCAGGGAATGGGAAGCCAGCATAGCCTCTGCTCGGCCGAAGCCATCACCTGGATTCATCTCTGATCGCTTGATTGCTGTAGCCTCCGGATAGACGAGACGATAGGCGAGGCGAGGCGAGGGGAGGAAAGGAGCAGAGGACTAGTGTGGAGTGGCGCTGCTGTCGGTCTGTCGGTCTGTCTCGACGGTTCTCTCGTCGCATGAAGGCCGACAACGCTGCCCAGCCTTTTCCCAGGATACCGACTCACGGGTCACGATTGACTGGCGGAATTCCTCAGGTTGGTAGGGAAATTTTCTAGGCACTGAGCACGTTGACCAATTCCGATCAGTGGGAGGATTGTGCTGGATACGAGGGTGAGGTGAAGTTGGAGCATCCATCGTCAGAAAGTCGTAACTGGATGGACAGTTTCATCTGGAATTGTCAGGAAGCCACAGCAGTTTGACTGTCATGCGAATCGCAGTGTCTGTCCATGGAAATTAGATTGCAGGGGTGGTAGCCACTGCACCTTTGCACGGGGAACTTCCATCCACGTCCGGCACGCGTTGGCTGCAGTGAAGCTGTGGACTAATCTAGCTAGCCACATGCGCAAGCTTGAACGACATGTTTCGCATATTGCAGAGGAGCTGGAGATGAAATTAGTCAGTATGAAAGTACAAACAGAGTGGTGAGGGGTCAGGGGTAGAAGCAAGCGAGGGGAAAGGCAATTATCATCGGCAGTGAATTTCGCGCACAACAGACAGTTGCCCTGGGTCGGAACGGACGACTGGAGCACATGGTGTAAAGAAATTCATGCGCTTTCGGTCCGCTACAACGAAGGGCCGACCTATTGATTACGATGACTACCTTATTGTATAACAGGAAGGTCGTAGCGCTAGACTCTTCCGAATTAGAGTACTGCACTAGAGACATAGATTGATAGGTAGATATTCCTCCAGGCATCTCTCTCTATCTCTTTCTTTCCTGCCTGTCTGTTGGTTGTTGGTATGGGAGGCGAAGGATACGATTTCGTGAGGAGATCTAGGCAATTCTACGAGTGCTCCTTAGATAGAGACGAGATATCGCATGTGAGATTTGCGTGACAGCAGCAGCTGCTGCTCTGTTTGACGGGAGGAAGAGAGATCAGAGTGGAGTTTGCAGGCACAAAATTGCCACGGCCAGCACAGATCGATTTGTGGCGTGGTCGGGCACTAGAGGAGTTGATCAGGTTGCGCAAAGTTGTGCATGGATGGGGACACACATGTCCCGTGCGGTTCGGGCCCACGATTCGAGTCAGAGTTTGAGAAGCTTGAATTTCAATAAACAGGAGGACAGCAGCGTCAAGAACAAATCCAACACCATGAAACATCATTCGAGCTCCGAGGAGCTCGATTCGATGCCTGATGAGAACGAGCACTCTCATCACTCCACGCACTCGAATCAGTCGCATCGGTCCACTCCGTCTTCCAGGGACACCCCGCAGAAGCCCATGCATCGAAATCACAGCTTCGGTGACATCCATCTCATGAGGAATGCTGCGAAACACAACAACATGCCCCGAAACAGCAGCTATGGAGACGTCCGCAAACATAGGCACCATCATGACCTCCACTCCGTCTCCAAGCGCTTTCAGCAGGTCCTCGGCCGCAGCGAGAGCTTCAGGGAGAGTCGCGAAATCCAAGCAATAACCTTCAAGAAAGATTTTCAAACGCATTACTCCTGCGACCTCAGATCTCCCCTCTCCCATGGCCGCTATGCCACTGTCACTGCCGCCCTCAGCTACCTCACTGCCGAAAACGTAGCCGTCAAAATCATCAGCAAGGACAGAGTGAGTTATCTTCAGCGATTCTTTCTCTTTCTTTCTCTGTTTCTCTCTCGTCCATGGCTCCATGCTCCATGCAATTTGCCGAATGTGCTGCTGCTTTTGTTACTGCAATCTCCATTTCACACCGCAACATGAATTCAACTGGAATCGGGGGAGTTTCAGCTGAGATCCAAAGGAGTTCCTGCTCCGAGAGCAAATGCACATGAGAGGACCATGCGGACCGCCATCTTGAATGGAATCAAAAGCTGCTCATGGGTATGTGTAGCCAGTCGGATAGAATTCCTCTTCAGGGTAGCCCAGCATCTCCAAAGTACTCTGCTCGTTTCTGATGTGCCTGGTTACTGCTGGACTCATTTGGAAGGATGAGTCTGTCGAACATGTAGCACATAGTCGACGGACACACAGACGTGCATACATAGATGGTCTGGCAGTCAGACGACCCTTCACTTGTCTACAGCTGAGAACGTAGTGATTTGCGTGGCGTTTACCTCCATCATCATAATCATCATTATCATCATCTCATCATCATCTTCGTCAAACAAAGGCTAGGTATATGCAGTTTTCCTTGTGGTTGGGGTCTGATGAATTGCTGTGATGCGCATGCAATATGGCCTTCACAGCTGTACGACAAGAAAAGCGGTCGACGGTGTGCTGGTGAAAATGTTAGAGTGGAAGTTCTGGCTTTACGAAACCTTGCCAATCAACCCAACGTAGTCAAGTTCGTCGACGTTTTTGAGGATGAAGCATTCTTCTATCTTGTCATGGAGTACGCATACTCACTTTCAACCACTGCCTGCAGTTATTGTAAATGTTCTGTAATGAGTGGTCCCCGTGTCCTGACTTATTACTTGCTTCTGTCGTTTAAATAGAGTGGGCCAGTTTTCGAAGGCTCACTTGCTTCAGGAAGCATGACCTTCCCATGTGCTCAATTTCTTCTTCTACTAACAGCCCCAATATAATGTTGATCTTGTGGCGAAATTTCTGTGCCACGGGCATGAGTTTCAGTCTGAAGGCTAATTTCGAGGTCCCTTATTAATGTGGACGCGTGTTGGTACTGAAACAGAGTAGGGAATCTGCTTTAATATGTGCAGGTTATGTAAAGGAGGCAATCTGCTGGAGAGAATAAACAAAGTGAAGAATATGAAAGAAGCACAAGCAGGTCCTCTTCTGAAGCAAATGTTGGCTGTCACCAATGTCTGCCATGCTCAAGGAATTGCTCATCGTGATTTGAAACTCGAGGTTCTTGTACTTGCTGACTCTGTACCTTGGCATGCTTGAGGATAAGGAAGAATGGAATAAATCTGTAGTACTTTCATGAAAAAAATATACTTTGCTAATGGAGGACAAGTTGTGAGGTCATATGGACGACTGTGTTTGGAGGTTGGAGTTTATCATACCAGATGCTTATTCGAATCAAGAAACTATTTTCTGTCACCTAATCACGACATGATACTGCCTAACCATGCAATTTCTCCTCCTCCGAAATCTTCCCTCCACTGGGTAAGTGGGGTGGTATACTACATCGACGTATGTCAATTCTCCAATTGTATCATCGACAGTTTTTGCTAATTATGAAGAGTAATTTCAATGCAGAATTTTGTGTTCCACTCTGAAACAGAGGACTACCCTCTCAAGTTAGTGGACTTCGGGTCTGCAGCATTTTTCCGACATGGTCAGGAACTTCAAACCCTTTCTTCGAACTTCAGATTCAGTTTCTTCATGACTTTAGTCAAGGTGGAAGTGGTTGAAATTGACGTTTGCCGCGCATTCTCTGTAGTAACGCTGACTTCGGAGGATTGCTTGGGTACAGGACAAAACCGGCCCTTCAAAGGAGCGGCCGGTACATTCAACTATATGGCGCCGGAAGTATTCGAATCCAATTACGGGCCTATAGCTGACGTATGGAGTCTGGGCGTAGTTGGCTACTCGATGTTATGCGGTACCCTTCCTTTCAGTGGTACCACTTGTGAGGCAAGTATCATTGTATTAAAACACGAAGATCATGTAGCACCTCCCACTCCCCTTATCATGTGTAGCATCAAATGCATCTCATGTTGATCCGTCTTTGTGACAAGGAATCTGGATATATTACTCCACATTCATCGTGACTCCCAAGGTGAAACGTGATTTGGAATGGTCTTAGCTCTCCTACAATTTTTAGTTCTAGCTCTCCTGCATTTTGACGAAGGATAAGGTCAAGCAGTGGGTGAAGAGTCAGACAAGGGTATGAAGAAGCCATTCGGGTGAGTGATCGTTAATGGGTGAAGCCGTAGTCTAAGTCGTGGTACTCGGGCTTTTATTTGGTGTTTCAGGTACTCAAGGAGAAGATATTGCACGATGAGGTTGAGTTTTCTCATCCCGCATGGGGTGATGTCTCTGAATGTGCTAAAGATCTTCTGAAAAAAATGCTGGAGAAGAATCCGGACTTTCGGATAACTGTTGATGAAGCTCTATGTGAGTACTTCATGACATTTTGAGATCTATTGTGTCCTACACTGGTTGTCTCGTCAAAAGAAACTCATTGAATTTTGGTTTGTCTGACATTGTCAGACAGGGCCCCGTCTTGAAAACGGTGTAATTCTGACATTCGAGCAAAACTCATTGAATTCCTGATGCGTGATTGCCAGCTCTGTCCTCCTGAAAAGTGGACATCTGTTTTGAAAAAGCTGTTGGTTTCAGTTTGCGAGATGTTGCGGATTCCTAAACGTGGATTATGATTATGATATGCAGCTCATGCCTGGTTCAGACAAGGAGGTGGTGGTGAGGGAAGCAATAGATGTGGTGGCACGGAGTCAGAGTAACATAACAAAATGTTGCCGAAATACTAGCCTCGTTTAGACTGTCTTCCAGGGAGCCAGGGTGGTCCGTGCACTCGGTCCTGGTAGATACAGGTGGTCCTAGATTTCTAATTGGATATCTAGGTAGATCGTCACTTATGCAGGATAGGGCCTGTGGGACTACTTGGACCATGTTTGGGAGTACTGATCAAATATAATCGCAAATGGATTTTCCGGGTCCCTTGTAATAGTTTTAACATTAGAGTTTTGATGCTGCTGGTACTTGTAATTTACACCTTGTGCAGAGAGGTTTCCAAAGCTGTTCAAGACAGTTGGCGTGAAATCAGAAGCCAAAGCCATTATTGTTATTTTCCTCAAATGTGTTCATATGACGGAAAGTTACCAATTTATACCTCCGGCTTGTTTGTGATATCTATCAATTTGCTTGTGTCAGTAGAAATCAGAACATTGATGGGAAGGTTATTCTGAACCGGAGGAAGAGTACATACGGAAGGTATACGATGTTCTTATTCTTGGTCTTGCCGCTGTCAGTGGTTGGGTGTTTTGAAACTGCCATTATACATGTGATTCATCTTATTTATGTGCACGACGTTGATGAATTATTGCATCACACTCATCTAACTTAAAATCACACTTTAAAGACTTGACTGACGGAATATAATTGTTATTATCATCCACGTCCAGGCCTCTAAAAGACTGTCAGTCCGAGTTGCAGCAACACTGCAACTTACTGACGCTTTTGAATCTTTTCGGTGACAACGGACACACGTCAACTGCGAAGATGTGGAGAAGTGCGACAAGTTCACACTGAATTCTACTTAGCTATATTCACGATCAGCTCTTCACATACAAACAAGTAAATACGCAGGTTTGGAAGGCACGATTAGTTTTACATTGTGTGACCTAATTTCAACGAGACCATCATAAACCTTTAACCTGGTTTCAAGCAAATATATCTAGTTCTCCAAATCACAATTCACCGTTTCCCAACAGGTATGACAGAGGGAATGTATCGATGACAGGCATATGAAAAAATGTCACGGAGAAAATCCTCTTGCCCGTCTGTAAAAGACGAAACAACTACGAGCACAACTGTTATCACATCAACGTAGACATAATTCATGTCTAAAGCCAAACAGCCTGACGAACTCTATTCAACCCTAGGATAAAAAATTTCCAACATGGGAACCTGGTTGGGTGCCATCTTAATGTGCTTCTCGATTAAAAGGAAGTTTCAAGTACAAGTAAAACGATTTCCCGTCATGTTTACGTCTTATCTCATATGACGTTTAATGTTCTGAATGCTTTGGCTTTTCAAAATACAGTTGATAGACTTAATTTTCAACTTGATATACAGACGGGGAGTTAATTTAAACTCAAGAAGTACAGGCACAAATGCTAAATTCAAGTGTGAAGAATGAACAATTTTTTTCCTTTAAGACTTGGTTGATATTATGTTTTTGCAAGTGGCATGAATATAGATTAAGTTCACAAAAAAAGCCAAGTTAATTATTAAGGACAATTACATACGGTAGATAGAAGCATGTTGATGCCCATTTCTTCAGACTTGTCATGCAACGCCGGTTGTTGCTTTTTCAAAGAAGGAAACATATCTAAATTCATCATGAGCAAGAAACTAACTTAGTCTATCCAGTCCCAAAAATTTCCATGACATTGAAAATAGATTTTCCTGTCTCTGAGGACCCAAATATTCAACAATAGGGATTGGTTTTGTCTGTTGCCCAACAGAAATTTGTCACATCTGCCTGCTCTCAAATACGAGATCCTGAACCAACCAATAAATGATATGAAACTGGAGGTGTAATCTCTGTTACAGTATCTCTTCGAGTCCACTTTGTTTGAACCTCAGAATAGTTTCAAAGTCGTATGAACTTTGTACCACCATGACTCTCAGTCTGAGTAAGACGAACTCCTCAAATCGTCATCACGTGCTCATCATGGGGCTTTGAGAAGTTGAATATTCAGGTAAGAGCTGTATCGTGTCGAGATGTGCATCTCAGTAATGGGCTCTCAGCGTAGGAAGTTTTCAGTCAAAGCCCTGCGTCGAATGTTCGAAATTTGCAGCTGATAGGTGGCTGAGATGTGTAATGTGGTCTCGGAGTCCGAGCAGCAACATCATGCATTGCACTCGTTTGCAAAAGCTTCCAATATTTCAAAGTTCAGCGTTGATCCAGAAGCGTTGAAAAATGCCTTGAACGTGACGTTACTACCGCTAGCCATTTAAAGGAAGATTCTGCTTACACGCTAGAAAATGCGCCACGTTTATAATATCTATCTGGAAACCCACGGCAAGAAGGCTTAGTCAGAGTCACTGATTTAAACACTTTTGTCAAGCATATTCTTTGCTTTAAAAATTGGAAATACTTCAAGCCGGAAAACTCATTACCACATATGGAAGCATGGAAGCCTCCATGAATTTATCCAAACAAAAACTAAATTTTGACATGCTCTGACAGATATTTATTAGGTACACACATCATTCCTTCATCAGGAAACTCTTCCCCTCCTCTCTTCTGGCATAACCTGCGGTGACAGACCATCTTCTGCTCACTTTTTCGTAGAACTGGTGGTTTTGATCAACCCTACAATTACAAAGAAGAATCACGATTGAAAGCTATGTTCTTCAATGTCCTGCGAAGGGGTAAAGTTTACAAGCCGGTTCTCAGATGCAAGTTCAACTCATAATTTGTCGTAATTTGGTCTGACTGGTGAAAGCCATGTGCACCTTCAAACAGTATTCCCGACGTGAATCAATGCTGTTAGATATTGAGGACTTTGACCGAAATCGATCACAGTATCAGATTGTCAATTCCATGCAAGGTTTGTATATGCACAAGTCCGAGAGCGGAAGCAACCGATCAAGATCAGAGATCAACATCAAGTACTGACTCCGTGAGAACCACGCTCCCAAGCTTCTCATGAACCCTGCTTGGGTACGTCGCTTCGGAGCAAGACTAGAGTCGAGAAATCTGAAAATACTTCTAGTGTTGTAGTTCTCCGACTTAAATGATCACGTAAGAGCTCAACGGTGAAAACGAAGCCGTGTGTCTACAGCTATCAGCAGCTCTTAGTTCTCAGTGCTGCAGACTCTCAATTCAGATCGATCTTGAGCATCAAGCTAGGCTGATGTTCAATTTGAGCTCAACTTTTGCGCTTCGAGTCCAGCTACTATTCCACGTGCCCCTATCGATCGATAGATCGATCCTCCACATTTGATAATGACTTGCGATTGGCGGATCCGGACTTCTGGCCTGGCTCGATGCGTATAACAGCAAATGGCTGCATGCTCTTGCACATGCGGTCGTCCGTTGCCGAGCCTCTGGATCTGTTCCATTTCTTTGAGTTGCTAAAGGCGAAGTACAGACGGCAGGGTCTGATAACAGCCGACCGGTTTCCAGAAAGCTCGGTTGGTACTCAAGTAACGCAGATCGTTCCACGACATTTCAGCTCATGTCACCAACCAATGTGTTCTGAAGTTTGCTGGTTAGGTCCGACTCTGGGATTCATTCCTCGAAAAGATGTTGATGGTAGAAGATCAGATCTTGCTGAAGCAGAGGAAGGTGTTGTTTGATCCAACAACCGCTTCATGGTCTTGTTGAGAGTAGGAACTCTTTTGAGATTGCGTAGACAAGTTGTAGAAAGTCATAGAATGCCAAAGAGTGTAAGAGTCCGAAATACTAGTACTTCTCTTAAGGAAGAACAGGTCACTAGTCAGGAATAGATGAGATATATGCTACGAACTGCTCAATGTGCAATCAACAGCTGTTGGTGCAGACCCGACAGCTTGAACAGCATGTCATGGTGCAAACGAAATCCCAAGTTTTTTAGAATCTGAATTTGCTTTTAAAACTCTGAGTATAGACACAAAAAATCGAAATCTTCAGGCTCAAAGGTAACCCTCGAGTATATCTATAATTCAATATTAATCCAACATAAATTTGACGGGTATTCTATGGTCTGACTCTAGATATAATTGACAACACAAGTAAGATTCCCTTGGAATATTGATCGATCAATATTCCAAGGGAAAAAGTCATTATTCTTGGTGGTTTGCCATGGTTCTTTCTGTGTTGCCCTTGTGCCATGGCTGCATGAAGCATTTTAAATAATAAGAGTATTCTTATTTTGAAGCATTGATTATTGGCAAGCTTGATTCAAGCGCGAGAGAGACTAAATTACATATCAGACGATTATTTATCTTACAACACAGAGCTACCATAGCTGCAAACAATTCCCTTTTGTAGCAGCGGACTTTTTTTTTGAAGTGTAAAAAATTTCGTTGAACTTGGATTTGCAGTCAGGCTCGTCAAGAACTCAGATACCAGGGCAGCGATGAAGGGGTGCTTGAATACTTTTCGGGTATGGATATATGTCGGAGGAGTCAATACGTACATGAGCAAAGGTAAGTGCAACTTCACGTGAGAACACTCGAACACTTGCGACTGGCACAGTTTTCTAACTGATCACGACTGCCTGAGAAGCTTCATGATCCCTTACAGTCGTAACGGTATCTAGACAGCGTCCCTATATAAACATCGTCACTGCTCCAGATTTGCAGAACAATGCTCAGACCTACTTGTCACTGCATATCCCATACAAGGTGATATCCTGCAGTGTCGTGCTAATTTAGTGTTGCAATCATTCAGAAGCTTTAAGAACAGGTGAATATGGTACCAAGTTCACTGTCAAATAGGACCAAAAGATCGAGCATCAGTTGAAGGTGGATGACGGAAGTAAAATGTTCTAGATGTTTATTTTTATGGATGACACAAACAACCATTTGTGAAGTTCAAGCTCTTGTTGGACTTGGAATTTTGACTTTCGTTGTTTGATATCCGCACGTAATACTGTGAGTGCTGTCCGCACATGCATGACAGGAATAATGAAAGGATGGAGGTCGTGGATAACAATTCTCGCCATGGTTGCCGTCCTGATTGTCCAAGTTCAGGAGTGCGAATCCTTTCGTTCAACTCCAGCTGTGTCAATTCTGAGTGACACTGGGAGTGACGTGAAAGTGCGTTGCCAGTCAGGAGATGATGATCTGGGAACCAGGAACCTGAAGCACGGACATCTCTGGCACTGGGAAATTACTCCCAACATCAAAGGCACAACTCTATTCTTCTGCAGTTTCTGGTGGTGGAATGAAGACAAAGGACAAGTCATGCATGCCATGTTCCCCGTATGGAGCATGAATGTAGTCAAGAGATATCGCTTTGATCCAGCAGCGTGGAAAGTGGAGAAAGATGGCTTCTGGTTCTACAAACCACGCTGGAGCAAATGGGAGAAACGACACGACTGGAACACAAAACTTTGAGCCTGTTTCATGGGTTTGATCTCCAATTTTGGTAGCTCTTTCGAACAATTCGTACAAGGCTCGCCCGTGATGATGCACAAGACGGGGCTGCAAGCCCCCGACACATAATCGGGCTTATTATACGCACAATAGAAAGTCCATACTGCTTTTTTTACCCCATGTGTCCCTCATACATGCAAATCGTTGAAACCTTCGACTCCAGGACCTTACTTCTGTTACTTCTTGCAGTTGCTAGCCATGTGGAAGATTCTATCTTCTTCCTTGATCCGACTGTTATATCATGGTTGAGACTTTTTCCTATCACAGAAGAACGCTGATGTAAAGAAACACCTACGAGCTCACCTGTTTCCAACAATAATTATATCATGTTCAAGATGTGATTTATATTTCTAAAATAAAGGAGTTGCTTGCATGCTAATTAGGTGAAAGTTCGTCGTTGGACCGGTCAGTATATGTCACATGTCCAATATTATATATCTGACATTTTGATGTCTTTTTCGGTCTCTACATTATATGCAATAAGTTGCTTCGGCGACGCGGTCATGACAATTTGGAAGCTACTAAAAGTTGTATTGTAGTTAGAATTGCAAAATGTAAGATGAATCTGTATGGTGCCGCCATTTACTGATATGATAGAAAGTTAGTAAGATAATGTTCATCTCAGATTAGTGTGATCATCTACCAGCCATCAATTAGCGAGCTGATTGTGAATCAAGTTACAAAATAATTAGAGATTAGCACTTGTATGCAATCACCAAGTAGCACAAATCTTGCTCATTCTATTTTCTCACATTATATTTCTTCCATGCTCTTGGGTTCATGCATCACCTCTTGTTCCGAACTCTTGATTTTGGGTTAAGATGAAGTTGCACATTTCTATACATCTGCTAAAAAAATGTTTATTTTCAATGTAACATGTTGAACTACATTAAGTAGATGTCATCATTTTAATATCAAATGATTTCTAACTTATGGTTTTAATTTGAGCAAAATATCCAAGTTATTATAGGATAGTAAATGAAACTTTTCACACAAATTTTCAACGCAAATTCTATAAGCATTCAAGTGTATTCATTTTGAAATTGATGTAATGTTCTAACAGAAGGGATTAATAGAGTAATGTAACATAAATTTCAAAGATGAAAAATATTTAGTTAAATTTTTACTATTTCTTATATAGCTTTTTGCAACAACATCAATGAAATGAATTTTTAATTCTATTATCCATTTCACTCATAATACATTGATGACATGATAGATATGTTTGATACATACATAGATATGTAACCTCCAATGTGATATGTATGAAATAATAATAGAATTAACCAAAAAAATTATCAACGTTAATTTCGTTATGATTAAATTCCAATCTCAAAAATATTCTTGGTATAATAATGAAGATAATTTTAGATGTTATGAATTAGCATTATTATCTTATTATATATTAGAGTTTAGATTATAATGAAAAGATTTTAATTATGTATTAGTCTGATTGATTTGACTAAATAATAAAATTTTCATCGATTTATTTTAATTCAAATTTAAACTTAATAACTAATATAATTCTCAAAGCTCGTGATGGTATGTTTACATCTCAACCTAAGAAAGAAAACTCTAGAAGTTTTATGTAGGCCAATGACATATTTTCACGCATTAAAAATTGATCATATCTATCAAGATTGATCATGGTTACTAACCTAGATGATATTTATCATGAGTTCCTATAGTAAAATTTTAAATTAAACCTCAAATCTCAAATATATTTGTAGAAAAAATACTCTTCAGTAAATTTTTAGATTTCATTGTCTGAATAATTGTTCCATGAAATTTTGGAATTAAAATTTATCTTGGACTGTTAATTTTGAGTGATTTTGTATGATATAATGTTTAGGAAGTGAGCATGTATTAAATTCTTATCTTCTAAAATTATGATTATAAGATAAATTTAAATCTGAGTCAATTTAAAAATCACAAATCTGTAAGAGTGATAGTTATATGTGTATATTTTTATTCAAACAACCCAAAAAATTGACCATGATTAGTCTAATTCTAACTAAGTCTAGTTGTGAAGTTTGTATTTGACAAATTATAAAGATAATTTTAGAATATTTGAATTAGCAGATTATATTGTCTCTTATCAAAATCTAGATTTCAAAAAATGAGTACTTTGATTCCATGAACCAAAATACTCAAAGTATTCTAAATGGTTTGACTAAGTAATAAAAAAATCATATGTTAAACTAAGTCTAAAGTTAATTTAGTCACAAGTGCAAATTCTATATATCAAATGATATGTCGTCATCTCTAATAAAAGACAATAAAAATTCTAAAAGATTTAATTATGCCACTGACATGTGATTGTGTAATGCAAATTAATAAAAAAAATTAGATAATAATCACTATGTAATATAATTATGATATTTCAATTTATAATAAATTTGAAACATGGATATATTGAGTAATTTTATCTTGTAAAATCATGATGAATTTTCAAAATTATCTGAAATAAATTTTAGTGAAAATAAACTAAAATTCAAAATCGTTTATATGTTATTTTCTACTAATATAAATATTAATACTCTTAAATTTTTATATATATATATATATATATTACTTATGTGTTGTTAATAAATAATAAACTTATTTTTTATTTATAAAACAAATAGATTGTTACAATGACGATTATAGTTAGGTTATTGTGAATCAATTTGATGTCAGTGCTGTTTAAATTTCATTTAATTAAATTTAATTGTGTATGTAACAAGTACTCATCATCGAATACTCAGAAGTACAGCATCATGTATTGATCCAACCAGACTGAAGTGTTTTATCTTGTCGGACCACATGGGAACACAGATATTTCAGTTAACATCCTTGTTTGTGTATGAGAGAACTATCTAGATCTACCAAAGGTTCTAGGTTAAGCTAACTGAAGTTAATCAAGACCTGAGTTAACATTGACACGCGTCACTTGTCTACGATTTGTTTAAAAGTGTGCGCATTGTACTTTTTACGTGGGAAGGACGGCATGTATTCATGTTGCAGATGTCGTGATCTACTCTATTTTATAATATCTAATATGGATGTCTAGAGAAGTACGTAATCAATTGCAATACAAATTCAAGATATAATTAACAGTTGTGGTTTCGTGTTCAAATTCTGTACCGAGTAGTCTGCAAGTGAGAACAAATTTGGTGGCAGGGACCCTGGGACGAGATGACATTGGAATATATTATGGTTTCCTCCACGTCTAGTTTTTCCTCTAGTCTTTCCACATCCGACAAGACGACACTGGAATATATTATGGTCTCCTCCACGTCTAGTCTTTCCACATTGGACGACTACCTCATGTCCTGATATCAGTATCAACTGCATTTGTGGTTGAATGTCGGACCTAACGATATACTATACGTCCTCACAAGCTTGCGTGGTTCTCTTGAATTTGTGGATGTATGTTGAACCTATCGATATACTATACGTCCGCACAAGCTTGCGTGGTTATCTGCTCGACTCCCTCTCTTCTGCACGCACCATCAACACCCAACTTGCTGAAGTTACGGCCATTTCAGGTGTAGTTCCTTGACGCTCCCGTCGTGTCAGCTAGGGAAAATAGCTTGCGGAATCCGAGGGCTTCTATAGAGTAATGAGATCTCAGTTTGGCAAGCTTCATACCAGTTGGTCGGTAATAGGAAATGACTAAAGTTTCCAGAGGGATCGCAGTCATCAAAGCTAGAAGGCTACACGTAGATGCATCGGCTTGCTTCATGAATCTCTCTGTAAGCAATGATGACGAATTCTGAAATCTGTACTCTGAGATAAAACTTGTACTTGACGATCGATGCAACTGCCTTGACTCATGTACTGGTTTCCGAGCGCCTCCGTGTTTTGATCACCTGAAAGTGTAAAAATTGCTGGATACTTTTGACGACTCCTTGGCTCTATATTATCTGTCCCATATCACAAGCTCGACCTTGTCGGCTTGGACTCTGTTCTGCTTTAATGCACGTGCTCATTATTACATATATGTAAGGCTGCTCAGAGTACTGCACCTCAGAGCTCAATACTACAAAACATCAAGTGACAATTTATAAATTCTAAACTGAAATCTAGATTTGATTTATTTTGATTAAAAATGACTTTATATATATTTATTTATTTAGAAAATATATTTATCCAGTTTATCTCTTTTATGATGATAAAAAAATTTATCATGAATATTTTTAAAATATGTATGATCATTTACAAACTCACTCAATCATGAAAGAGTTTGTAAGATGAATAATCAATCCTGCATAATTTTGATTCACAAATATAATTTTTACTACCTGTAACTTGTGTTTATCATAAATTCAAATTTGAATTTAAGTTTTTTTCACTGGAACAAAAGTTAAAAATTTAAGTATCATAGGTCTTCAAAGTTGAAGATTTTATTTTTACATAAATTTAACATGTTATGAATTGAAAATATTTTTATAAACGAATGAAATTTTTTAATATTTCATTTCCTTAAATTAGAAAGAAATTCTAGTGTAACGATATATTTTATTTAGTAATAAATATCCAGAATCAATATTTAGGTATCTATAAATATAAATTAATTATCAATTTGGATTTTTTAAGTATAAAAACCAAATTGATAATTGATGAAATTATTTAATTTAATATAAGGACCACAGTTTTATTTTTTGCAACTTCAGTTGTAATTGCAAGAACACATTGATACATCCAAATGTAAATTTTGTTTCTTATTAAAATTTATAACGATAGTAAAATCTATACTCTCCAATTTAAATCATTTCAAAAGATTTAGAATTTAATTTTGAAAAGTAATCAAATTGATATACGTTTTCAAAAGTAAACTTCAAAACTGCTCAAGGTTTAAGTTTATGCACTGATTAGATTATAAGATCATTAGAAATTTTTTTAATATTTGTGTGATCACAGCTAGTCTCAAGTTGATCTGATGTTTTATATTACACAAATTTAGATTAGTTTTTAATTTATAAGAATTATTTTTATTTGCAATTCTATACATTTAAATTTATATTATACTAGAAATTTTGAAATTAAAAAATTTACTAAAATAATGATGTGTGAAAGTGTGTAATATTCGATTATCTTCAATTTAATTTTATAAATTTTGATTTATAATATATTTTTGACCACTAAACTTGAAATTCTTTAACTTTAGCTTTATTTAATAATTTTAGTTTCTATTTTTTTAATAAAAATTCATTTAAATTTTTTCTAAAATCAAATACGAAGGATTTTAATTATTTATGTTTTATATTAATTCAATGAAGATAATAAATCGAAAATTCCCATATCATTTAACAATAGAAAAAATCCACAGACTGACGTTTTAGAAAAAATAATTAAATTAAAAATCTAAATATATAAACTTCTTAAC